AAAAAAAAAAAGCTCTGTTCTGAGGCTGTTGCCACCTCCCTGGGCTATGAGAGTGATGGGGGTAGGGTAATGATGATAGCTGTCATTTAATGAGCACTTACTATGCACCAGACTCTGTGCCAGGCCCTTTAAGGGTCAAAGAAGGCCTCCCCAAGGGACCCTTGAACAGAATTAGAAGGTACCAGGGGAGGAGTGTTGCTGGTGTAAAGGCCCAGACGGTGAGGCCTTGGTCGTCACATTCAAGCAGCAGCCAGGAGACCAGCATGGTGGAAATGAGTTGGTGGTGATGGGATGAGAGAGATCAATGGGGCTGACCCCTTGTTAGGAGCAATAGGGGACGTGGGGATCTTCACCTCGGGAAAGTCTCTCACGTTCTCAGGGCCTTCTCTGGCAGCACGGGGCCTGGCAGGCACCGGGCAGGGACTTATCAGACAGACGTGGCCAAAGGCAGACTGCTTCTCCTGGGCCTGCTGTCTGCCTCTATAACTGAAAAGATAATGCCTCCTGGTCTTGCCTCCCTGCCGCATGGATTTACATTCCAGTAGGGCAGGGAGTAGAGACACACCAGTCATGACACCAACAATAACAAACATGTATTTAGTGCTCAACCTAGGCCAGTATTGCTCTACCATCGAGTCTGCCCCCAACAAATAGCCACCCCGTGCAGAATGCAAGGAAACGCCGCCCAGTCCTGTACCACCCTCACGGTCATTTGTGGATCAGGCTGTTGTAATGCAGGTCTATTTTCAGGTTGAATTCCGGAAGTAGACCTCAGCTATTTCTTTCTAGTCCATCTTAGTCTGGAAGCTCTGCTGAAACTTATTCAGCATCATAGCAGCACAAGCCTCTGCTGACAGACTGACAGACAAATGGGGGCTGGACGTGAGGAACACTGGCCGGATATCTAACTCAGGTGCCCACATGGAAGGCGAGAATTATATCATCAAGCCACCACTGCCCCTGCACTGCTCTAATTCACTTAATTTTCACACCCCATGAAATGGGTGCTATTATCTTCCCTGTTCAATGATTGGGAAATCAATGCACAGAGAAGTTAAGTGACCTTCTCAAAATTACACAGCTGGAGCCAGGATCAGCCAGAACCAGGAAACAAGCAAACAAAGAAGTAAACTGAGAATTCCTCAGTGCCCATGCTGAGAACTCCCATGTATTCTTGGCACAAGAGATGGGGTTTACCTCTGTTTACACATCACAGTATGGAGGCCCAGAGAGGGGAACTGCTCACTCAAGGTCTCAAGCTCAGCAGCTGGGGAGAGGGCATTCGAGGCAGCCAAGCCCCTGCTGCACTCCCAGCCCTCCCCATCATCAGCCTCCTCACTCTAGCCAGCAGAGGCCCCAGGAACCATCTGTTCCAAGATAGGGCATCATGTCTCCCCAGGCCCTGCGGGTGAAGGGTGCCCCTTCCCTGGTTTCGAAAGGATCCTCCCCACCTCCAGGAGCAAAGTAGATTTGCTGCCTCCTCCCCCAGCCTCTCTGCCTGCCTTCTCCCCTCCCTTTGCTCTCTCTGTGGGGTGTCACTTCACTTGGGTTCCAAATGCTCCAACAGGGAACCAGAAGTGGAGAGGGAGAGCAGGGGAGGGCGGCGTGGGGGCTGAAACTTGAGATCTCAGCCTCAGAGGGTGAGAAAGAGAGAGACAGACAGAGAGACAAAAAGAGAGAGATTTCAGTCGCTTTTGGTTTTGCAAAGAGAGCAGCCTTGGGGTTTGCTGTTTGGTGTGAGCACACGCGCATCTGGGGGAGTCTTTTCTTTCCTCCCCTCTTGTAGGGAGGCCAGACCCCCACTGGACAATAAAGGAGCAGAGGCGAGGCAGGCAGAGTGAGGCCAGTGCTCAGACAGGGCAGCGTAAGGGCAAGAGTGCCGGAGGAAGGAAGGGAGAGGGGGAAAGAATAGGGGTGAGGGGTGGGGGGCAGGAGGCGGTGAGAGGAAGCTGAGCAGCTGTGGTATTTGCAACAAGTATAAATAGCTGCCTGGACCGGCTCTGCCAGACAGGGGTTTGCAGCTGCAGCGGCTCTGCGGGCAGGTCTGTCCACTGGTGGCCACGGCCTCGGAGGGTGCATCCTGGGCATCGGACCAGGCGGTGGACAGGCACAGCCCCTGGGGACTCTGACCGGATTCCCTCCCCATTGCCACCTTCTGCATGCCCTCCTGGCCAGCCATGCTGCTGGGCAGCCTCCTCCTCACGGTGGCCACCATGACTGCAGCCCAGCGGAGGGGCCAGAAGGCGGGCGGGTGCCGCCGGACACATCGGGTCCAGCATGGCCAATGCAGCTACACCTTTGTGTTGCCTGAGCCTGAGCCCTGTCCACCAGAGCCCGAGCCCTTCGGGGGCTCCAACAGCCTTCAGAGGGACTCGCCAGCCGCCGCACTGCACCTGGGGGACTGGCCAAGCCAAAGGGTGCGGCAGCTGGAGAAGGTGCTGGAGAACAACACACAGTGGCTACGGAAGGTAAGGGCTGGGCCTGCGGGGAACGGAGGCCGCGTTAGGTCTGCCATGAGCGGCAGGAGGGACACCTACCTCAAGGTTTTCTCTGGGTACAGATGGCAGAACTGATGGGCTCCTCGTCCCTGCATTGCACAGAATGGGATAATGAGGCCCAGAGAGGGCAGGAATGGGCCTGAGGCCACACAGCAAGTTAGGGTAGTGTCAGAACCTGACCCCTAACTGCCATTCATTCATCCATCCTGCAGAAATTTGTTGAGTGCTGACCACATGTCAGGCCCATTCCAGGTGCTGGGGATACAACAGCAAACAGAAAAAGCAGTGGCCTTCTGGATGCACATTTTAGAGGGGGAGACAATGATACAGAGATGAACAATGAATATCTACTATGTCAGAGGGTGAAACAAAATGAAGGAGGTAGGAGGCGGACAAGGAGTGGCCAAGGCTGGCTATTTGAGGTCAGATGATTTGAAGGACTTCTAGAAGGAGATAGCATTTGAACCAAGGAACAGAGCAAGCTCTTCTGAGAGGAGAGTGTTCCAGGCAAAGGGACCAGCGGGTGCAGAGGCTTCAGGGTGGGAATGCAGTAGGTGCCTGGGACCAGCTAGACAGCCAGTGTAGCTGGAGCAGAGGGAGCAAGGAAGGGAGAAAGGGGTTGGGGACAAGGTCTGAGAGGGCAGGGGCCTTATGGGCCACTGCAGGGACTGTGGCTTCCTGCTGTGAGTGCCAGGGGAGACCTTGCCGGGTTTTGCATAGGAACAACATTCCTGGTTTGTCCTGAACAGAAGAGACAAGGGGGCAGGTTGGACACAGGGAGCCCAAAGAGGAGACCACCGCAGCTGCCAGGAGGCCTGGAGCAGGGAGGGGCTGAAGTGGGGAGGTGTTGTTGGTGGGAATCTGGTTTACTCTGGACATGGAGCTCATAGGGTCTGCTGATGAATTGAATGTGGTGGGAAAGAGCAAGGAGTTCAGTTCAGCCCACAGTTTCGGTCCAAGACCCAGAACACTATAGGAACTCCTGTCCGAATACTTTGATTCATTCTTTCTTTTTATTTTTTCATTATGATTTGGGTGAAGATTTACAGAGCAAATTCACTTTCCATACAGCGGTTCACATACACTTTGTCTCATGTCATTGACCACAGTTTACCACAATGCAACAGCTCCCTTCCCACTTCCTCCCCATAGTTACCTCTTCCCAGTGTCCATTCCTCCATGGACTCCTGCCCCCTGAGCTGTCTCCCTGTGCATAAGCAGCCCTTCTTTCTCCCATGATTGTTCTCTCCAAGGAGTGTATCTACTTGAGGTAAATGTTTAACTCATATGCCTGTACTTTGTTTGGCTGGAAACCACAGGTGTGGGTTCAATTCCAGACCTGAAGGGCAGCTAGGGGTCATAGTCTCAGTGGTTCCACCAGGCTCTATGGGACCAGCAAAGCTGGTCTCCACCTTTTTTTTTTTTTTTTCTCTCCAAATGATTTTGAGTTTTGTTCCACATTGTTCTCTCTCTCTATCAAAGGTCTCCTACATAGATCCCCTTCCAAGTGCATGACAGTGGTAGCCGGGCACCATCTAGTTCTACTGGTCTCATAGTTGTATAGGCTGCAGATTGGATGGTGTACCAGTCTCTAGGACTAATTGTTTCCATGAATTTTGGTTTTCTTCATTCTTCTTTGTTCTGGACGAGGAGAGACCCATCATTGCATCTAGATGGCAGCTTGCTAGCTTTTAAGATCCCAGTTGCTATTCGCCAAAGTAGGAGGTGGAACAATGTTTTGTATAGTATGTTATGCCAATTGAGCTTGATGTCCCCTGCAGCTATGGTCCCAAGCTCGCAGGTTCAACTACTCAGTCCCTCTAGGTAGCTGGCTGTGACCAAGCAGTGACCACAACCTTTCCCCTTGTCAGCTCTACTATACATGATTCATTCATTCTTTCAGCAAACACTGAGCATCTACTGTGTGCCAGGCCTGGTGCAGAGGTGAACAAGGCAGGTCTGGCCTGAGGTGGCCATGAGGGCAGGGAAGGTTTCCTGCAGTGCCCATGATGAGCTAGCCTGATAAGTAAAAGGTGAGAGAATGTGGGACCAGGGCCTCAAATACAGGGAACAGTCAGGGTGGTGGCAGTAGGGTGGAGAACAGCAAAACAATTCACAGAGTTTTAGACATTATAGAAGAGCAGACAGGCACCAACAGGCTGTGAAGTGAGAGCGTCCAGAAGAATTCCCCAGGGTGCCTTTTAACCAAGCAGTTTTTCTTACCCTCATGGTTTCCAGATTTTTAAAACATGTACCTAATCAGTATTGTTGTTATGTGCCATTGAGCCGGACCCAACTCATAGCAAGTCGTCCTTGGGTTTCCGAGGTGGTATCACTACAGAAGTAGATTGCCCAAACTTCCTTCCAAGGAGTGGCTGGTGGGTTTGAACTGCCAGCCTTCTGGTTAGCGGTCAAGTAAGTGCCTTAGGCACTATGCTACCTAATCAGTAAGAAATGTTTATTCCCCTGATGCAGACATGTTTATTTAATATTTATGTACATACACTCAGGATTAATATAATCTAGATGGTCATCACTCTAGAGGAAATGAAACTTTAAAAGGACACTATATGAAATCATGTCTACTGAAGTTCTGGTAGGTTGCTCCTGTTTTTCAAAGGATTGTTTTGTACACAGCCTGAGTTTATGTTTATCCACTTCAAGATGGAGAGATTATACTATGTGTATCTAACCAGCCTGCATCATACACACAATCATGTACACACTCATGCACACACATACTTACACATGTGCACACACACACACACTTAACCTCTGGTCTGCATCCTTCCCCAACCACCTCCTTCATCCCTTGCTCACCATCTTGTTATGATCCCTTGCCCACTGATCCCTCCACCCACCTGACCTGTAACATTTTCACCCTGCCACCATCCCACCCTTTGCCCCCTCCAGGGAGTTCCTGAACACACATACTGGAGTCCAAGCTAGCAAGGACTCCATGCTGCCCTGAAATCTGCATGCATCTCTTAAGGCAGCTGTTTCTGAGTTCTATGGGGCTATTTCAAGACACCTCCACCCTCAAACTTCCATCTTTACCTCCCCACCCACCTTATCCTCTCACCAGACCCTGGACATCCTACTTCAATGAGAAATAAAGGCTAAGGAGAGAGAAGTCCCTCAGTTGCCTGCCCCACATCTGCACATTCACCCATGCACCCACCAGTCCCCAGGTCTTTCTTCAGGCTCCGAGGGATGAGTTTTCACCATGAGTTTGGGCCATTTTCCTTCCTAGATTGTGGGTCTTATCCCTTCACAGCCCCTCAGCCTCCCATGCCAGCCATCCAATCCTGTGTCTTCAACACCTTCTCCCTCTCTGCTGGTCCTTCCCCTCAGTGTTTAATCACATTCAAGTCTTTCCCATGTTAAAAGCAAGGAAAAGGCCAAAAGAGAGGCAAACAGGGAAGCGAAGAGAGCACAAGCCTCTTTCGCAGCCCACACCTCTGGCTTCTGGTCTGGTTCTCAGAAGTCCTCATGTCTTCCCTCTACTTCCTCACTTCCCCTTGACTCCTCTCCCCAGAGTCACTTCCCATTTCCCAAATCCAGTGGCCATGACTTGGTCTTTATCTGTCTTGATGTCTTAGTCATCTAGTGCTGCTATAACAGAAATACTATAATTGAGTGGCTTTAACAACAAATTTATTTTCTCACAGTTTAGAAGCCAGAAGTCTGAATTCAGGGTGCCAGCACTAGGGGGAGGTTGTCTCTCTCTGCTCACTCCAGAGGAAGCTCCTTGTCTCTTTGGCTTCTGCTCCTGGTGATCTTCATGTGGCATCTCTCTTCCCCCATCTCTGCTTCCTAACTTGCTTGTTTAATCTCTTTTACACCTCAAGAGATTGATTCGAAACACACCCTACACTGACTCTGTCTCATTAGCATAACAAAGACAAGTCATTCCCAAACGGGATTATAACCATAGGCATGTTGTTGTTGTTGTTGTTGTTATGTGTTGTTGAGTGGGACTGACTCATAGCGACCCCTCCATGGGTTTCTGAGGCAATATCACTAAGGAAGTAGATTGCCCAACCTTCCTTCCAAGGAGTGGCTGGTGGGTTTGAACCGCCAGCCTCCTGGTTAGCAGTCAAGTGCCTTAGGCACTATGTTACCAGAGCTCCCCTGCCCTGGCCGAGCCACCACCATCTCCCACCTCAGTGGTTATCACAGCTCCTCCCTGGGCTCCTGCTACCACCTTAGGCCCCCACAGTCCATTCTACACTCCAGCAGACAGAGGGTTAAAACCTAAGGCAAACCTGTCTCTACTTAAAACCCTTCCCAGAGTTCCCATCCCACTGGTGTAAAAGCCAAAAGGACCATTCCTTCCTCTGATACCCACATGCTTCATCACTCACCTCCCTCAAGTCTCTGCTCAAATGTCATCTCCTCAAAGAGGCTCAAATATCACTTCCTCAGAGACCCTCCCTGACCACCCTCTGCTGTCACCCTCTATCCCCTCACCCAACTTTGGTATGTTTCTTAACACCTGATATTCTTATCTGCATTTCTTCATGGGTTGCTCCCTCTGGTCTGTGAGCTTCAAGAGAGCAGGGACTGTCTTTTTTTTTTTTTTTTTTTGGCCACTGCTGGATTCTCAGGGCCTAGAATTGTGCCTCACACACAGTAGGTGCTCCATAAATCTCTGTTGAATGAATGTTCTTCCAGTCTCTCAGCTGTTCCTGCTCCTCCCTTCTCATCCTTAAATGTTGGTGCTTCCCAGAATTCAGTCTTGACTCTTTTCATCTCAGACCTCATGGCAGACCCACTACCAACCATCTCCAGCCCCTACCATTCCCACCTCTAGGCTGCCCTGCACTCCTGCAGCCCATCTCTGTCCTGCTCTGCGATGACACCACATTGGCATCTGAAAATCTTCTAAGCCCCAAACCCATGATGCTAATCTCCCATCTCCCCTCTGAGGGGCAAACCTGCCTTAAGCTCCAGTATCACCCCCAAAC